CTTTAGTTCAAAAGGTAATCTTTTTATTATATATTATATATTATATATTATATATACATACGATAAAATCGAATTGTAATTACTACCTTTGTTGATAGTCATTTAACAATTATAGCTACGTTGTTCTCTGACTACGTAGTCAGTCTAAAAATTAATTTAAATTTAAACATTGACATTGTAGATTTATGCAATGTGTCCCCGGATTGAGAATTTTATACGTGACCAACAATGTTTGAATCTCGTAAATATATAAATCATTGCAAAGCTTCTGACAACTCTGAATTTAATTTAGACGTGTAAAATAGTAAGCTTAAGGTTTTGCCATCGCGGTCGTTTCCATAGAAACAATAGCATTGTCCTTTTCGCGTCCAATTTGTAATAAGAATGACATGTCATTAGAACGCATAATCATTTGTTTCACTTTACCTACCCTTGCGGCTAAAGTCATTACTGTATCTACCCTCACGGTTAAGGAGCGACTTAGTCCATTCATTCAAATCTATTAAAATGTCAATTTAACATCTGCTATAAAATATTCTCACCTAACATAACTGACTTTCTGCACCTTTGCCATGGGGTAAAGAATGACAGTAACCTCAACACTACTTAATTAACATGTAATTAACCCCGAGATTTCCCTTACACATTCTAAATGATACTTTCATATCATTTTAAAGTTGGTAGACTTTATTAACATGTGTTACGGACAACCGTCTAGTGCAAACTTTATGAATTCATTTAACATAAATTTTTTCTTTGTAGTGTCATCAAATTTAATTGTCTGTGCTTTTCTTCATACGGTCATAATGATTGACACGATGAAAATGTGTATTTGTATATAATTACTACAAATATTTCGATATAGTACGGAAGAAAACGCTCAAAATCAATAGGTACCGTCTTAGGGAGAAAAAGAGTAAAGGTATTAAAGAGCGTTTGTCGTAATGTTTTTATTGTAGCTTAATAAGTCAACAAGTGCAAGCGTGCAGCCTATGTATATTTATTTAAATAAAAAGAGGGCGTGACCATTTACAGACCAAATAAATCTATAACATTTAAGTTAGTTGGGTACACAGAAAAGGTTGAATGTGCGATGTAAAAAGGCACATCTAGAAAATAAGCTTCAACACGCACATGTGTATTAAGCATATATTTGTTGTTTGTCGTTGAATCGCGGCAATAAAGAGTGAAGTAGGATAAGCCGAGCTTATATTTGCAGTGCTAAGTTAGTGCTATCCTTTTCTACGGCATCAAAGGTTAATCAATATACATACAATTTTACTCTCGGAACGGATAGTTTAGTATAACAGGTAACAGTCAACAGGCTCAAATATTTGCAAATCCGACTGGAATGTAAATACCGTCCTCGTCTAAACCAAGCCGATCTGTTGTTATTATGTCAGGCGATGCTTTGCTAATCTACCTTTAATTTGATGGAATGCCCAGATTAGGTGCGCTCTATTCTACATATAATACTAATTTGTTTGCGTTGCCTTTTTACTTTTCTCTCTTTTGTTTAGGTTTTGTTATCCACTTCAAATTGACACGAAACACTCGTAACTTGCTTCGTATATGGCACGCATCTCCATTCGTATGCTAAAATCAATACTGGAACTGTAGACTTGAAACTTATATATAACTTTCAGATATTTGTTATAACGTTAACGCTAAAAGGAATTACATGTAAAAATACTTCGATAAATTGAGCTACTCAAAAACTGTCTGGTCACGTTTGAAAAATTTCGAAAAAAAAGACACGTGTGCGTGCAAAATCAAATTTTACATTTAACTGGATTAACAGCCTCAATATCATCGTTCTATAGAGTTTTAACAGATTGTCCATTAACATTTGTCATTTTGACAGTCGATGGAGATGCGAAAAAGGACCTCAAATTTTAAATTAATTAAGATGCGCGAGACTGCCGGGATAGGACCGTATGTCAATGTTGAACGAGCAGTTAACGTTTCGCCCAGTTTATTCCTAAGGGGCTTGATCACCTGTCCTAATTAAGCACCTAAGCACGAGAGGGGGCGAAACGATGACTTTTCTTCCTTGATGAAGCCCCTTATGAAAATGGGCGAAATGTTGACTTATCGTTCAACATTAACAGTCTTATCCCGGAAGTCGCTCGCATCTTACTGACTCTGGTCATGGAAGCCTCCGCGTTCAGATTTTGTTTAATACCAGAATATCTTTAACAATACGTTTCTAATGATCAATAATGATCATTACCGGACGTGATATCTTTAAAAGTAACGAAGCAACCGTATTCGTACAGAGATTAATGAACGCACCGTACATATGGAAGCTACCAGCTTTAATGAACGCTCGGTACTTTGACAAACTCAAGTGGCCACTTCGTTACAAGAAACTGTAGTTGTGGACCTATGTAGTTTTTCACTAGGAGAAGGTAAAAGTAATTGCTTTGATTACTAGCGTCGTGTTTTAGCCGCCGATAAGCGAAACCAGCTGCCGAAAATAATTGTTAAGTTTCTAATTGTTCCGGTGGAGATGTGTTTTTGTAGCATCCGACGACCCTCGGCATGGGGAAGCAGAGAAAGAATTAATATTTTAAGACTTCGGGCCCGTTAATTGATTGTTATCCGACTTTAATGTTAAGCGAAAGCGAGCATTAAAGGCTACAACGTCGTGCAGTTTATTTCATTATCCGAAATTATAGGTAACAATAAGCATTGCTGGGTTGTCGAATTTACCAATTTTGATCTGGCCATTTGGGTGAGTATAATTAACAGTAGTTAATTAAATGTGACGCAGCAAACTTCGTCTGATTAGATTAGGCCTAATATCATTAGAAGCGCGCTTAATTAATACAAAATTCACGATAAGTCTCGATTTTTAGGACGTCAAGGGGCCTGCTAATTAAATAAAGTTTTAGTTTTAACTTTTGGATGTTATAAACCGTGTGCTCCGGTCGGCTGGGAAATTCCGAGTCATCTACATCTTTGCTACCAACCCGGGTGCCGTAATTCTTTTTTAGATTTTCGCCAGTGACGGACGCCATTTGCCCGCAAGATCCATGGAGTTTTCCGGTTCTCCATTTGAGAGTTTCGAGACTCTTCCTCAAACCTTCGTTAATCAAGGAGCAAGGGTTGAAATCTCCTGGTGGCACCCGAGAGAATTGTACCGTTCCAACGAGAATAACGCACCGTCCTGTCGACCGAAGTATCATTTACACCAGGACTTCCCGGCTACTGCAGTACGTCGCATTAAAAACTGGCGCCCGAGCAGGCACTGCTCTCAATTCCCCAGACTATAACCAAACGATATTTTTCCGTAACGAAATAATCCTTTTCCGGAGATGTAAAGGTTCAACTAGCATAAGCGATCACTTGGTCTTCTCCATCGCTTTGCTGGGTGAGTGCTCAGCCAAGCCCGGTATTACAGGCATCGGTTTATAAAACGAAGGATCGGTTAAAGTCAAGACATGCCAGAATCGGTGCGTTGGTTAAACGGTTCTTGAGAGTTTGGAAAGCTTGATTTTGTTCTTCGCTCCAACTTCAATTTTGCTTTTTTCGGAGGAGTTTGGTCAGTAGGGCTACTATGTGGAAACATTCGGAACGAAACGGCGATACCACGTCGCTACTCCAAGAAATCTTCTTACGGTTGTAATGTTGTGTGGAGTCGGTAATTGCAGAATTGTGGCTACCTTGTCTGGATCGGTGCGTAAACCTCCATCATTAACAACGTGTCCCAGATATTTTAGAGACGGGAGGCAGAATTGACATTTCTCGGGATTAATTTTTAACCTGTCCCTAACGGAGAGGGCGAAAAACCTTTCTGAAATATTGTATGTGCCCGGTGAACCTTCTCCCGAACACGATAATGTCGAACACTCGTGGCACCACTGGCCGTATAGTCCGGTCCAAAAGAAGTAGAACGTCGCGGTTGCGGAATATAATCCAAAAGACATGACTTTAACTTGGAAAAGCACTCTGCCGGAGGTGGCCAAAGCGATAATAGGTTGAGTCAGCGGTATCTACCAATAAACTTGTTTCAAATCGATGCTGGGAGCGTAGCGAGCTTGACGAAGACGGTCCAGAAACCCATTTATGAACGGTGACGGATAGGCATCTTTAACAGTAAAGGTCCACTAAAACTGACGTGGGATTGCAGAAACGGAAACGGGAGCGGGATGGATGCGAGATATATTTGTACAGCGGGATAGGTAAGTATGCACCGATGCGGCGGTTCGCACGCATATTCCGCTGTACAAATATATCCCGCAGAAGGAAAAGAGTGCGAGTGCAACTCTTTTCGGCGTGCTAGAAGAACTATCCTACTGTTAATCTGCCTACAAGATCGCTGGAGTTTTCCGCTTCTCTGTTTGAATACCCGTGGTTTCCGAGACCGTTCCGCAATCCGCCTCTTGGCCAGGAGCAAGGATTGAAACCTCCTAGTGACACCCAACAGAACCGTGCCGTTCCAATGAGCCTACCAACTAATTTCTTCCCCGTTGCATTTACATGCAGCCGACTTTGCCGCAATTAATGCAAGAAATGAAAGCCGGCCAACAGGTCGGGGAGGCCTGTCAACAAAAAATAAAAGGTACGATTCAAGATGAGAGACAAAATGTTCTAGATAAGATGTGCCCTGTGAAGTGCACTCTAACCAGGGATGAAATTTTGTGTCGGCACTATTCCAAAGTCTGTGTCAACTATTGTGGGAATGGGTACTAGAAGTTTCGAGATTGAGAGTCCGCATAAAAAAAGGTAAAATATTAGTTACAGCTTGCAGTCACATTTTCATGACTTATATCATGTCGTTCGACCTCGGAAACATTGCTGCAGTTTCTCCAATAAGAGAAAATGTGCTGGATTGGTAAGTTTAGCTAGAGTTAAGGTTCTTTTTACTGTATTTAACGTTTGTTGTGATACATATTTTTTGTTATAAGGAGACACCATATCCAATAGTGATTCAGTCATTCTTGAGTCACCACCTGGTGCTTATTTCTGAATTCTATTAATGTTAAATGAATACGTTTTGCAAATGATACACGAATTTAATGTGCTAAAAGACACAAAATGTTACACAAGTTAGTAAATGAATTTTGGCTGCTCCAATTTTCTTCGAGATGAACTAGCTTTAGGCATATCGCTACTGTTCACCCCTTCCCCAGTTACGGGGTTACGTTTCGACGTTGCTTCCCTAGGTGACGTTACCTCTTCAATAACCGTTTCAGGTCTAGGGCTGGGTTTCGCAAATGAATTATTTTCATTAACCGGCATACGAGGCGTTTCGGCTCGGGGACTTTCGACCGTTCCCATACACCCGACCGGGAAGACATTACTGGTCGTACTTCGGATTCTGTTCAATTTTCCAAACCTCGTGCCGCCAACCGATAGGATTTCCATTCCGGAGTTGACGGATTTATCGAGCGCGAATATATCACTTTTCTGTCGATCCATTTAAATTATTCTGATTTATTGAGTTGTAAACCGAAAAACGTCAATCTGTCACGAGTTGTCATAGAAAAACACCATACACTAAGCACTGCCTACCGCAGTTTTTCGAGAAAAATATGAAGCTCGACAACCCCGGCCCGGCAACTCACGCCCTTGAAGTCGTAGCAAGCGATCAATTGGCAGGAGGGGTGTCGAGTCTGATCGCCTCCTTTTCTATACCTTTCAATCTTGCAGATGCAATGGACCAGGACAATTAGTAATTAAACCGCACAGGAGTAGGTCTAACCTGATTGTCATCTAGGCCCCGGCGCATGTTAGTCTCTCTGAAGAAGGTAGTGAACTACCAAGAAAGGTGTACATGAAAAGCAAGCCTCTTGGCCCCGGGCCCTGCTCATTAAAAAAAAATACAGGGGACTTTATGAACGGAAACCCATTTTTAATTTCCAAAGCACTGGTTTAGCGGGGAGTCTCTCCAGCATTAAACAAGTTAAGGGATTGTGTGTGAAAGTGGAAAGTGTGTCAAAATACACGGTTAATGAGCATAAAGAAATTTTCGGGAATTAATGTGGAGGATATTGCGCATCCTACATTGAATCATTGTAAAGGAGTTGATCTATGGAGGAAATTAGGTAATTAGGGTATACGAATTTGTTGTTGAAGGTAAATGATTAAAATCGATACACCCAAGTTATAACGTATAAGCTCCCTAGCTCCCTTTTTTGGACAAGGAGTGTTCCCTACAACATTCTTCGGTTACCCTAAGAGCTGATTGCATTAGTCTGCATAGAATAGCCTCGAATTTGCCGGTAATTGGTATGAATATATCATCCCCATAGCGTATAGTACTTTTTTATTTATGAACATAACAGGTTACCCCAATAACAATGTTCATGTACATAAAGAATATAAAAAAATATATGTTAAGACTTAAGAGTGTTGACGCGGGGGATGGGATATAAAATAAATTTCTAGTTCTTGATGGTATAACATTTGGAACATAGAAGTTAATTGTGCCTCTTATAACTGTATCGTCAATAAAATTATTCAAAATTTTAAAAGAAAAATAAGAGAATGGACATTACTTCTACTTATGCAAAGTTTTTAATTGGAACGACTCTCTTATAGAATTATATGATACCAAAAAATGATACGTGCCATAATGCTTGTAATATACGTATTTCAAAAATTTAAACTAGACGCGTTCAATAAGTTGACATTCTTTAGATTTGTAAAAAAATGTTTTAACCATCTTTATTTTAAATAACAACAATACGATTTCTAAAGAAAAATTCAAAATTCCTTCTAAATGAGTTCAAATATAATTATTTTATACAATAAGAGTCTGATCCATTCAGCCAATTTACACATAAAACGTAAAGCAATCTAGCTATTTTGAATACAAAATCAAAAGGAATTTCGTTACCTTAATTATAGCGTTTTCTGGAATCGACGTTTTCCTTATGGTTCAATACAGTACTGCCGTATATGGATAGACCTCTAAAACTAGATAATACGGAACGAACCTTGGATCTCCGGAAGGAATACTGGCTAAGTTTTTTGGATATTTCGTACGGTTACTTCTTAATGTGCAATGAACTGTATATTGTAACAACTGTTACAATTATTTTAAGATGGATTCTCAATAAACAAAGAAAAGTGGTCAATAACAGCACTTACCTTGGGTCTGCTTTTGGTTCTCAGTTACAATAATAATATGCCTCGACTAATATTTAACTCAGGGTTGAGATGCTCTTTTTCTACAGGACTTCTGGGTGTTTTACAATTCACTGCTTCGATAGAGAAAACAAAATATAATGCAAAATGACAATGTTGGTATAATTTTCTTCAATGCTTTTTAAATCAATTTCTAGTTCTAACTTATTGCTTCCCTAAACAAAACAACTAAATATTATTTCTACCTCACTTAAGCTAAACAATCCAATACCTACTCTTAATACAAATGAGACCTATTTAATTTAAACCTCAGAAACGCGGAAAAGGTTTTTTTGTTTCTTTTATTCGCCCGAAATGAATGTCGAACTCGCGAGTACCTACACAAATAAAAATTGTTAAGTACTTATCTCTTTTTACGTCGCCCTCAATGTAAGCTCGTCGTCGCCTGCCTGGGTTGACTCCTAGTGCGGCTCAGACTCCTTGAATTTCGTCCATGTCAGTGACCTCGAAATATATTGGTTCGAATATCGATTCCTCCTCGATCTTCTTCAGGTGAAAACCAACGCTGGCCAATAAACAAATCGCTGGCCCAAAACGGTAAAAACAAATCGCTGGCAAAAGGTGAAAATGGTTTCCCAACAAGGAATTACAAACTTCGTTCACGTGGAAAGTTTTCTCGCTCTGAATGGCGTTGAACTCGCATATGATTGCGTCACTATTGCACAATATTTATTATAAGTTATTCGTGTGTAAAGGTAACGAATTTTATACTACGAAACGTAGAGCACTTTCACTGTCTCCCTACGTAAAAATCTTCACGCTAAAGATATTCTCTAGGACAAAAATGTTTAATTCAGTTTTACTACCACCACCTTGACTTTTCTTAAGCGGCCATCGCTCTCTTCTCTTATACCAACTTACTCACTAAAAATGACTAAACTCCCCATAACTTATGTACAGTATGTTCCCAACTTAATTTACTAACAAATATTTATACACAGTATGACAAAATGAACCAGCAGAAATGTCTGTGCTGTTACAATATTTATATCGCCTGTTTTCAATCAATTTTTTTAAATATGCAATGTAAGTTATTTTGAACACACTGTTAGCCAAACAAATTTGGGGTCACACACCAAACCTCATCTAATTTTTGAAACCGCTCTCGAATTGTAATTTTTTAATCTACCTTTCATATTTGTGACCGGATTTTTACGATTTTAATAGAAGTTGTATCTTACAAATAGGAAATGAATGCATGTGGAAATGCGCTTTTTGTAAATCGTTTATGATTACTTTTTTAACTTGTTTAGATATTGAAAGAGCAATGAAATTGAGGTATGGGGTTTTATATTATCATTATTGACACACAACGTAAAACGAATTTTTTAAAGCATATTCACAGTGTAAGGTATCGGTATAGCGGTTTCTTCTTTGTAGCCGATTGAGTTTGCACGAGAAGTAGAACGTGCCCTTATACCATATCCCAGCGAGAAAATTGAAAATCTTTTACACACTTTGTGTTTCCCAAATAGTTTAGATCCACGTTGTTTCCCGCATTCATTCCCCCGATAGGTCATTTATAAACCACGTGCTTGTAGAAATTATGCACAATTCGTACGTACTGCTAAATCGTAAAAGGAATGCAGTATGAATAAAGAGAAGCTAATTATTTTTACGATCTATTATCTTATAAATTACGCGGTGGTGTATTGCGAGGGTTTGGGTTGAAAAAGGGGAGTGGGTGGTATTTGATTGATGAGTACATTGTTTGGACAAGTTCCATTGGGGCAATGCAGGCCGGCTGATGTAGTGTTTACACAGGGTATTGGGGTGCCATGCGCGCGTCTGTCCGCGTTGATATACCGAACGAATGTACTGGTGGTAACTTTGCGATAGCGGTGTAGGGGTTGAAATTTTTAACTCTTGAAGCTTTTCTAATTAATATTGCAGTAATTCGTGCATCTGGGTGAATGGAAACTTGGTCGCCTTTTTTCAGACGTTCAGTATATGGTTAATGCGTATCCATATATGGATTATAATCCTATTCATGACGAAAGCGGTACATTTTGTTTTAATTGAACATGATGTAATTTGCAATTTTATTCAATCATTTAAAATACATCATCTCAATTTGATTAAACGAAATATTTAACTAATAAACGTTGTCCACGAACTCTCATAGTTGAAATTAATAGAGGTAATAAGTAAGAACACTTGAGGAACAATGCCTGCAATCGACTATTTACCCTGGTATAATCATTACTTAGATCTTAGTGATGACATAAAATGTCTTGTCTAACCCAAGTATAGGTTTTTAAATTCATTATTATTCTTAATATCTAAAAACTAAAATCTGTGTTTAAATCGTGAAAAATATTATTGTACCAAGATGATCACTAAGTCCTATAGTATAATTCAATGACGGTCGACTAGTTAGAAAAACAATAAATGTAAACACAGGAAGTTTAAATACTTTTGGTGGTTGAAGTGAACTCTCCCAAACTGTCCCTTTTTTGGTCTAAAGCAAGAAACTAATTCCTGCTAAATCGACCTTCTCAAGCCCAGACCCACGGAACGCTAAGATCTTATGGCCGTTTGCACCGACAAATTTAAGTGGAACTTAGCTTAAGCGTAGCTTAAAATCCATGGCAATGATTATTGAGACAATGGTTGCCATGGATTTTAAGCTATGCTTAAGCTAAGTTCTGCTTAAATTTGTCGGTGCAAACGGTCATTAGATTTCAAGTATACCTGTACGGTATGTTGCCTATCTTTCAGGGGTAGAATACCGTAACATTTTTTATTTTTTGCTCTTACTCCTTTCTTAAACCAATATTTAAAAAATATTATGCTAATTTCGCGTTAATTGGCAATTAATAGTTGGCCTATCTTTTTTAGGTGCCAAATTCCTGAAATCCTTGACCATGCTCAGAATTTCATTAAATTTGGTGGGTACACTTGGGGCACAACTATTCTCGAAATTACCCAATATCCGAATATACACTCTCTTCACCAACAAGTGGTGGTTTATTAAGTAGAACGTGTCTCTAGTAATTCACCGGATATTAGAGGGAAGTGCTGCAGCGTGTGGTCTGCGCGTCGGCATAATTAGAAATTTAGCGATTTTTTCGTTTTCGTACCAGGTATTGCAAATGATAACTTTATTTCAAACTCATAGTCGAGAATTTTTCACACATCCTTTTAGAGGTGGAATTTTGAGAAAATCGAAAACCAAATCAAATTCCACCCTCCTATGTGTCATGGTTGCTCAGAAAAAAACTAAAGAAAAACCCAAATTTGGGACTATAGCTCAATCTTCGCTCTCTAGTACCCTACACTACAGACCATCAGTGATTTTGTACTTAAACACGTGAACAGCTTAACGTTCAGA